TGCCCATATGTATACAGACCTGTACCAGCTGAAAAGTAGCACCGACTCATATTATTTATTAGACTGGTTAAATGCATAATATGCTGTCCTGTATTTTCTGATAGTTCTGTAATACAAGGTGTTCCTGTTGAGGCTTGTATATAGTTGTCAGTCCCCAACCTCTTCAACTGGGCTTTTACTTGATGCACTTTAAGCTGCCATAGTTTGTTTGCACTTATTAACATTCATCTCCAAAGAAATGCCATTTCATGCATCTTGCTGCATTGATTCCTTTGCCCAATACGAATCACAGACAAAGAATGTCACCAGTCCAACTTATGAACTATGTACACACACAAACCACTTAACACAACTAGTCCAACAGTGTGGAAAAACCTACAAGCCATTGGAGCATATATAACAAACACTATATGAACTGCACAAATAATACCCACACCCCAAATGGTATGCAGCACAATGCAATCCAACAATGAGAAATGCACTCAAGCAAATATCTTTTAAATGAATGGATGATTACCACAGTGGAAAAACATTAAGATGTTAATTAATTTTAATTAAATGCTTAATTCATTTTAATTCGGAAACATGGCATTCACATGCAATATATAAATCTGACATACAGTGTGACAACACCTGATGATGACCTTCTATGGCCAAAACATGTGAGGAGGAAGGGTGACTTGATAATAATTTGTATCTTTATTTAATACTGCTTATTTCATATACATTGTAATATGTTATTTATAAATATATTTTTCAAATGATAATGAAACACATCAGTAACAGAATGTAATTTGTCATACACTCACATAATTATTTCCTATATAAGAAGACATGAGAGACTGTGTATGTGGGAACTTCCCACATAACCCAATGCATACTGAGAGAAGTAACGGGATTACTTTGATGGGATTAATAGCTAAGCCACAATTACTTCAATCTATTGGAATATGAAGTCAAAGTGCATTTGCGCACATCATAGGGTTTACAAGGACATAGTGGCTAAGCTGTACCTTCTCAGCACCAGACTCGGACAAGCAGTCCCAAGTCTTTTTCTGCCTGCTTATCCTAAAGGGCATCACAAGCAATGAGGGTAAGGAAAGCTGGATAACCCCACAGCTCTTCTGAACATGTAACGTACAATTAAAAATAATTTCCTGACTAACTGCAAGATGACACTGCTACTAGCATGAACTTATGCTGCTGTATGTAGAGTCTGCTGAGTCATTTCCTGCTTGTAATAATGTTTTAGCATGTTGCAGTGACTGTTGAGTAATGTTGTGTTCAGTCCAAATGTTTGTTGTTCCATTTGTGATTTCTTCATACATAGAAATGGCAGACTTGAAAGAACAACATGTTTGCATCAAATTTTTGTTTCAACTGGGGAAAATGCTATGGAAACCTTCAAAATGTTGACTTATGTTTCAGAGAGCAGAGAGTGGGAAGAACACAACTTTTTAAATGATCATCCTTTCAAAGTTCAAAGCTGTGTGATCTCTGTTGAATATGCGGAACAATTGGGACGTCCACTGACAAGCAAGACAGATGAAAATGTGGATTGAGTCAAGGAAGTATTTCACAAACAGATGAATCACTATTCATGAAGTTGGTGACATGTTGTGAATTTCATTTGGATCAATTCAGAGCATTATGATGGACAATCCAAACATGCATCAGATTGCTGCCATATTCGTGCCTCGCCTGCTGAGTGAATACGAGAAGGAAAACCATATTGACACATGCCAAGACATTCATGGGAGGCTGAAAAAGACTCAGAATTCTTTCGATGTGGGTTTATGTGTATGACCAAGAAACCAAGCAACCATTTCAGTGGAAGAGCTTATCATCTCCGTGGAACATAAAAGGCAAGACAAGTTCATTCAAACATGAAGAGTGTGCTCAGTTTTTTATTTGGGGGGGGGGGCGCATTTAATGAGTTGTGCATTATGAATTTTTTCCACAAGAACAAACTGTAAACCAACATTACTACACTGACAGTCAACAGCATTTGAAGGAAAATGTGTGGCTTGAAAAATGGAATTCATGTCATTGGTTTCTCCATCCTCTGACATAAATCAGAGATGTAGTGTACAGCTACAAAATGGTCAGAAAGGAAATGGTTTGTGAAACACCATGTAAAGGAGTGGAGGGATGTGGCAGGACCCAATAATGTATTGAAAGAGCAAACGGGGCAACAAAGGGAAAAATTGCTATTAAAATAAGATTTAAAAGTTTGTGACAATGGTACATTGCTGCAAGTATTATGTATCCTGTATATTTTCTAAACACAATGTTTCGGAGACTGGATTCTGCCCCATTCTCAAGTAAAACCTACTCAGTCCTACTAGGTCCAGAGATAGGGACTACCTCTATCTATTGGACCCAACTGAGCAGGTTTTACCTTAGGATGGGGATAGGATATAGTCCCCAAAACAGTTTTTTTTTGGGGGGGGGGGAAGGATTTTTTTTTTTTTTAGAAAATAGACAGGATGATGGATTATGTCCAAAAACATAATACTTGCTATTAAAATGTGGTAAATATAGGTTATTCTTATTTTACCAAGAAAGGTTCATTCAATAATATATGTTGAGAATCTTACAGTGACATTTTTCACTACTCTCAGGTATGGGAAGTTTTTGATACTTATTTGCTCCCACAGCTAGGAGCCAGATATTGTTTCGTCCTCAGTGTAACAAACAGGCATGAAGTTTCTTAACCTTTTCAATGCTAAGCCTCTTAATATATGTGAGTGGTGACAGAGAAAAATTTTCAGCAGTAAAGTCATTAAAAAATATACATAGCTTGAATTGTCAAAAGACACAATAAGAAAAAACATTTCTACCGACATTATCAAATATCAAAGTTACACTGAAAAGGTGAGGTATCTCATTCATAGAATGGAAATTGTTAAAACCATAAATTAATACGCTTACTGCTGCCTAAACTGGTTATGAATAACTTTACAGACTATATGTCATGACAAACGTAGGAACTGTGTTATAATGCTGATCCAGCTGTATTCTCATAGCTCCGTCTCAAAGAGATTGCCCATGGATGAGCTTATCATTTGTGTGAAGTATGACTGTTGATTATGGTACAGGTTAGCTGGTGTATCAAATTCCACCACCTGTGGTATAAACAAACGGAGAAAAGAAGCTTCAGTACAAGTACATTGATGTGTAGCCGGTCACAGTAGCCGAGCGGTCTAAGGCATGCACTGTCTTCGCTCGCTCGGAAACTGAGATCATGGGTTCGAATCCCACTCAGGGCACGGATGTTTGTGTGTTTTTCTGTGTTTGTCTACAGGTAGAGGCTTTGCGACGAGCTGATCACTCACCCAAGGAGTCCTACCGTATGTGTAAGATCTAGTAAACCGAAGTGAAACGGAAAGTTTCATGGAGGTAGGCCTAGGCTCAAATTGGGGCTGTAGTGCCACAGGAAAAAAAAATATTGATGTGTACTGATATGTAACTGGGAAGATGAGGTATCGTTAGCCTTAAAGTGAATACACCACACAATAACAAAGATGGATCCAAAACTGCACATAGTACATGAGGTGGGAAACTGAGCAGAATATCATTTTGAAGCAGTCGTAGTTGGAACACCCATCATCCTATAACTCCATTTAGCTCTCATTTCCATGTCACTACCAGTGTAATTCTCACACATGCACACACATGAATGTGTGTGTGTGTATATATATATGAACAAACAAAAACAAACTCAGGCGTGTAGTCTGCAAGCGAACTATACGAACCGAGTGACCGCCACTTGTTGGCGAAGTTAGTTAGTTAGTTAGTTAGTATGTGTGTATATATATATATATATATATAGAGAGAGAGAGAGAGAGAGAGAGAGAGAGTTTCAGAACATATTGACCAAACTTCAGAAGTGAGTTCTACATGCCATTTGGAGCAAAAAAGTCTAATGAACTATATAGGTCAATTCAACACCATTATCGAGTTAAGTGTTGGCTTGGTGTAGCACTGAATAAAATTGTCTTTTCATCTCACCTTTACTATCATTTTAAAAAGCTTACACCAAATAAGTCTCAAGGTTATTACAACACGTGTTCGAAATGCCCACCATCGGACTGCCTGCATGCTGTTAGTGGTGCCACTGAATGTTGTCACTCCACGCATTCCACTTCATTTCTGACAACAGTGGCTTCATCTATGGCTTCTACTGACTGATGCCTTGCTTCTTGTTTACCAGTGACATACAATCAACTCAATGAAAGCCCACAGAAAGGAATCTAATGGGTTTAAGCTGGTAGACTGAATTGACTAAGCCACCAATCCACATCCTTCATAATCTTCGTTCAAAAATTCCATTACTATTCTGATGTAATGCAGAGGTGCTCCATCATGCCGCAGCCACATTCATCTTTATGTTGCAAGAGGCATATCCTCTAAATGCAACACTAATTCATTTTCAAGAAAATTCCTGCAATACAGAGCTGTTAAAACATCTTTTGATAACATGTCCAATATGGTTATTGCCTAGTACTCCACACCATATGGTAACTGAAAATGAATGTTGAAAAAGAAATACTGCTACCTCATACGGATTTTCGTGTGCCCAAGAATGTGAATTCCTTGTGCTGGCAATAATATCGCCAGTACATTGATCCTCATCTATGAACAGAATGTCATACAGAATGTGGCTGTCGCTGCAACCATTCACAAAATTGTACACAGTTTGCATATCTCCCAGTAAGTGGCGTTGTACTCTTTGTAGGCAATATAGGTAGAAACTACTGAGGTGCAAAATTCTCCATACCTATGTCTGTGCTAATTGACTCATCCTAGAAATTCTGCATATTCTTGTACGAGGGTCATACTGAAAGTCATGAGCAACAATTTTTTTAAAGTAACATGCTTTATTATTGACAAACCAAATACACCACCTCAATCTACAGACCTTTCTTTATTTTTCCCCATAATCGCCACTTCTTTGTACACATTTCTCCCAGCGTTCTGGGAGTTTGAAAATTCCCCTTCTGTAAAATTCTGTTCCAGCCATCCGAAGACACTGACGCACTGCTTTCTGAATTGCCTCCCTTGTGTCAAAACGTTCACACAGCTGATCCTTCACAAATCCGAAAAGATGGTAGTCGGAGGGTGCCAGATCAGGGCTATAGGAGGGGTGTGGAAGAACTTCCCACCCCATCTTTGCAATTGCTTCCAATGTGAGGCGAGCGGCGTAGGGGCAAGCATTGTCATGCAGGATGATGATGTTTCGTTCCAGACGTTTATCGCGCAATGCATGCTGGAGCTTGTGCAGCATCTGGACATAACGAGCAACATTGATGGTTTGCCCAGGTTCCAGGAATTTGGCTAGAATAAACCCCTCTGCATCCCAGAAGACTGTGCCCATCACCTTCACAGCTGATGGCACTGTCTTTGCCTTCTTTTTGATGGAGAATGCAAATGGTGCCATTCCATACTCTGCCGTTTCGTTTCAGGCTCGAAATGGTGAAACCAGCTTTTGTCACCTGTCATAATACAGAGCAAAAAATCATCGCCTTCGTGTCGATATCTCTGCAGCAGTTCTGAGGTGATGGCTTTTCGCTGACCTTTGTGGTCTTCGGTCAATAACCGCGGGACCCAACGAGCACAAACTTTCCTATAGCCCAAGCTTTCAATCATCTCCTGTACTGCACTGTGCCCTATTCCAAGTTTTCGGGCTATTGTGTCCACAGTCACACGCCTGTCATCTTGAATGATCTCATCCACTCTTTCCTTGTTGCGTTCAGTTGAGGCTGTTCGAGGACGACCGCTCCGAGGCTCATCTTCGATGCTGGTGTTCCCATCTTTAAAATGTTTCACCCATCTTTGAACACTGCTCGCACCCATGCATACACTTCCATAAGCACACTGAAGTCTCTGGTGAATTTCTGCAGCAGGGATTTCCCCTTTCACAAGAAAGTCAATGACAGCATGCTGGCGAAACGACATAGCGTTGTCGGCCATTTTGTTAGGAGTGATACTGGTCACGTGATGCAAGCTACTGATGTCACAAGACACTCAAGGTTAACACAACAGCTGGTTCCACCTACCACTGTACTCTCTTTCGTGTGCTGTTCCCAGGTTGCATGCAAAAAATAGTTGCTCATTACGACCTACGTACTTTGGCTTCATTGAACTGCTGCTAGTACATCATCTTAACCATGCTGCCATTGGTCATGTTCTGCAGTTGCTTGTGAGATGTAACCAGTGTCCCTCAAAGTTCTTGGTGAATTTGCATAATGTTCTGTGATGCTGAATTCTGCATAGTAGATATCGTTGCTGGAATTCCACCACAGCTGCCCTACCATTTCGGTTGCAGAAACTGTATATGAAATGTATGTCAGCATAGTCTTCATTTGTAAACGTGTTAGGCATTTTGACTATGACTGCAATGCAACACAACACAGCCATACTACCCTACACAAGGTACAAGCAGGAACTCAGTGAAGTTACAGCAGTTCCAGCTTACTCCACTGGCACATAACTCAATAACAGTGTCAAATTGACCTATAGTTTACTGGACATTTCTTGCTCCAAATTACCTGTAGAACACACTCATGAAGCTTGTCTGTATATATAACACTAAGGTTACCCATTCCACCAGTATTATGTCAGTCATGTAGCAGTTATGAATTAGTAGTTATAGATAGGACCACCAGGCAGCTGTGAGATGTAATGTGTTAGGTATGTGTGAGAATTACCACTTTAGTTCAAGGCAAGAATTTGGAAAAAATTGTGAGAATCAAAATTAATACTTGAATTTTCTCTACCAGATCAATTGTCTCCAATTTAATCACAATTTACAACAATATCCACTATAGAATATTTTTTGCATTTCAACACAACACAACTTTCAGTGGATGAAGTCGTCGGCTAGGATGACATGTTTTGGCAGGTCCGGTTTATAGTTACAATTAATGTGTCTTGTGTTTAGAATAAATTTACATGTAAACTGAGTAGCACTGCTGGTGTTATACACTATATATATGGGGGCTATTCAGAATGTAACTCCATTTATTTTAGGCAACTAATATAGGAGCAGGGGAGAGCTTGTGCATGAGAACATCATGCATCACATGACTCATTGCATTTTAAACCATCTTATAACTGGTCACCTAGTAACTGTTCTTCTCCCTACAGAGTGAGTTATGATGTAGCCTGCATCGATAATCCTGCCAGCTGCAAAATTCAGACTCTTATCCACTTTCTTCACATAAAATTCATGAGTGCTGTGGAAATCTATCATGAATTATGTGTGGCTGAAGGGCAAATGTAGTGAGTGAAGGAACTGTAAGGCAATGGTGTAGAATGTTCAAAGATGGGCAAACAAAGGTGTGAAGTGGTAAGGTATCTGTAGTGAGTGATGATCTTGTTCAAAGTGTTGACCAAAAAATTTGTGAAAGAGAGCATTTCACAATTTCAGAACTTTTGTGTGAATTTATTTCCACATATTTCATGCACTGTCTCTATGAGATTATCACAGTTAGACTAGGCTATCACAAGTTTTGTGCAACATGCATTCCAAAAATGCTCATGGATGCACACAAAAAGCAAATAATGGCTTCAGTTTGACTTTTAGAGTGATACCACAAAGACAGTTTTGAATTTCACATTCATATTGGAACAGGTGATGAAATGTGGGTTTAAATTGTGAATGTTGAAACCAAACAGCAGTCAAAGCAGTGAACACACACTCTCATCAAACAAGCCAAAAAAGTTCAAATCAAAATTTTTCTGGTAGAAAGCTGATAGCTACTGTTTTGTTTGACAGGAAAGGAGTGCTGGTGGTGGAATTCACTCAACAAGGGACCACAATTATGTCAGAAGTGTATTGCGAAACACTAAAGAAAATTGTGTTGGGCCAGCCATTCAGAACTAAAGGAGTGGAATGCTGATATTAGGTGTAATGACCCTTCATAACAATGTGCATCCACATACACCTGCTCACAGTTGAGCAGAACTGGACCATTTCAACTGGGTGTTGTTTGACCATCCTCCTTAGAGCCCTGATCTCACGCCAAGTGACTACAACCTGCTTACCTACCTGAAGAACTGGTTGCAACCATAGCACTTCAAAAATAATGAGGCTTTGATTGAAGGTATCAAAACATGGCTGAGCTCACAGGTGGCAGATTTCTTTGACACAGCCTAACAAAATTTATTCCCCAATATGACAAGTGTCTCAATTCAGGAGGTGATTACACTGAGAAGTAGCTTAAGTATGTATGTATTTCTTGTATATAATAAAATATTTTTTTTCTAATTGCTTGTTTTGCTAACAGCTTACTGCAGGTTGCTTACTGAATAGCCCTCATACTATAAACTATATAAATAATAAAATAATATCTGTAGTGATATACACAATAGGATGCAACAAAATATGATTACATCAGTATCTGCTCTTTCACAGTACACTACAGCATACTGCTCATCGCTTCTGACAGAAAGTCATTTCAACAACAAATTTTTCATAAATCATTGCATTTAAAAACATCCATTTCTTCATGGAGAATGATAGAGAGGGACAGACCTTGTTGACAAGTTGACTTGTGCTAGCATTGCCAACCGTCATGATCTGATGACTCTTGTAGTTTTCATGCTACTGTTCAAAGCAAAAGCAGTTCTCTCAAAGTTCTTGAGGCTAGTGGCTGAAAGAATGAACTTTCAAGATGTTCTTTTCTTCTTAATTTGATTTAGAAAATTCAAGAATCACACATGCCTAGTGCTTCTGCATCAGTCAGTATTCCAGTCTAGACCTTTGCCAAAAGCAAATTTCCATTGCTCACAGGATACATATTCAGAAAAATGATGATTTCATGTATATGAATTGATCATGGGGGGGGGGGATTATCTGTTCGAAACTGTAGNGGGAGGATTATCTGTTCGAAACTGTAGCTTGAAATGGGAATTGCTTATTTTGAAGGTTTCACTGATTTGCTGCATTTGAGATCATTCAGAATAATGTGCAGGTTTATATTGATACAAGGGAAGGCTGCAAAATGTACATGAGGAGAAGATGGAGTGTCTGGTGGTAGTGTTGAAATGGCCAAACCACCGATCATTATAGATGGTCAAACTGTGCCTCAAAGAAACGTATGCCTTGTTAGTGGTGAACCAGATAATGGCCATTATGATGATCTCTTGACAGCTGAAGAGGAATAAGAGAAATTCTGTTGTTTTTATTTTTTTATCGATATCTTTCCCAAGAAATTTCCTCCAGGAGAGCAGCACTGTTTAATGCATACTATTCTGTCAAGCTCCCCATACAAATGTACCTGTCTTTCCGGATCTTTCAAAATTATTCAGGTTAGGTATTTTTGAGACAGTTTCCTGCTGAAATTTCAACAAGCTGTATGGAAGTATCTTAGTATACACCATGACCACCTCCACCCTAATCCTTCCCAGTCACAACACATAATTACCTTCTATCCCATTTAATACTAAGCTACCTCTGCTGTTGAAATGACCTAAAAACCAACTGATAACTCACATGCTTGTTTTAATGTTTTATGATGAAGATAACAGACCTTCAATGTTGGTAAAAATAAGAGGAATTCTTCGTGGGAATCCCCTATATCTGTACCTTCATTGTTCCATGCACCTTACTCATCTACTCTGCATATGGAGGCAGCATGCTCATCCAAAACCAAAATGCATGGCATCACACCCCAGAAGGAAGTGTCAAGATGAATTGTGATGGTCTCTGATACATACCTTACCTCCATCCACAACCATGATTTTGTCACATTGGACGACATATTTTATCTGGTGGGCTATCGTCAGTATTGTGGCAGTGGGAAACAAGTTGCATGCCATGTGGTTCAGCATACCATCCAGCTCATCCTCAACTGTGGCCAGTGGCTCTTCCAGTACAAGCACCTGACAACACAAACCCACTAAACACATGGCCTGACTGACACTTTTACAGCATGAATTATTTATTAGCTGCCAGTTATGGGAATGTAGTTCCACATTCAGAACAGCAGACACTGATGGACTGGCATAACCTAGTATATTCAACTGCATCACATCTTTTTAACTGTTAGCAAGTTAATTCTCTGAAGCATAAACTACATCTATATAATCTAGTTCATACCTCTCAAGACATACACTGCATTTCCATTACAGACCAAAAAGTTCATGGTGTGTGATAATAGGGCTTGGCTGCTTCCACCCTAATCCTCACAAACTCACTCATCATCTGATAATGTGGCCTCTAATAATAAATGTGCAGCACATTATTTCTCCTAATTTCTTTAAAACAACTCAAACAACAGCCCACTTTATCGTCTCTGATTCAGCTATTATGTTTACAATGCTTCCTAAACGAAATGCATGTCTGAAACACAAGTTTGAGTAAAGTGGCATTAATGTCTAAGTAAAGTTGTCCCCATGTTTAATTAACTAAGCACTATGCCATGAAGATATTTGGGGGAGTGGAGGTATACGTCCACTATTCCTAATCTTGGCACTAGATGGAGGCAAGTGATCAGCTTCATGCCCTGGCTGCTTTTCCCCCGAGGAAGGACCACCCAGTAACCATTGGGCAGGCCAAAGAACTGATGTGAATGCTGTGGAATAGACAAAAATCGTTTGTCCTTGCCAGGAATTGAAACGCAGCCATCCAGCCCTTAGCCCATTGCTAGAATGGCTTCAAAATTTTGGTGCTAACAGCATGTGGTATTCCCAAGCAGTCAACCATCCAAGTACTAACCACTCCCAATGTTGCTTAACTGTAATGAATGGGAGAGAACTGGTGTTTTCAAAATAGTATGGCCATTATAGGCCAAAATCCTGTTTCTCAAAACCAAACTCTCTGAAATCTTATTACTAGCACTACTAACAATAAGTTCAGAGCAAAATAACATATATGCATTTAATAAAAAATCAGTAGGTATACTTGAAAAGTAAGTCACCAAATAGGTATACAGAGAATAATCCTTCAAATACAGTCAAAAAATCTCACTTGAAAAATGCTGGACTCTCGCGTCAGCAATCTTCTTCATTTATTCACGTTTTTGCGTAAGATAATTCATTCAGTATAATATTCAAATTTTATATTTGTAACCTATTACAATTAAAATTATAGTTAATGAATGAAATCTTGAACAAATATTATATTTGAATTACTTAGGCTTTAATATGGGTTCTGGTAAAGAAAATGGACATCAATGCAAAACTGTAAGGATTTCAACAAATGCGTGGTACAATTGTTAGGACTCTAGCCAAAAATGTTAGGAAGGAAACACTACCCAAATGCTTTAAGAATTGGGCAATTTGAATTATTCTGCATGGATATGAGTGCTGGACACTAACAGAATGACATAACAGTAGGTTGGAAGCTGCATCAGGATGTCAACTGATCAAACACAAACGCAATGAAGATATAATAGAGGAACTACAAATCGTCGGCACGAAGTCAGTAATTAAAGATTATCAAATAAATTGACTACAGCACCAAAGAAAAATGGACCAAAATGCATTCCCTAAATTACTCTTAGATTAGAAACCCAGAGGCAGAAGAGATCCAAGGATGTTTCCCCCTGTAATCTACAAGAACTTGTAAAATACTGTCACTTTTGATGATGGTATGATAGATCCAGGGTGGGCTATACTTTATACAGATCGCCTCTGAAATTTTACACAGACTACAGAATGTGTTATGAATATTTCTGCATTTCCATTTTTAAATAATAATTTATTTTTCAGGCTTTCAAACTTGCCTACAAGTGGCATGTGCCATAATTCAATGAGCTCTGTATGAATATTAAATCTCATTCCCATGCATGACCTGGAGAAGGAACTAGTAGATATTATACAGGTAGGCGCAAAAAGATGGAAACTTTTGAATGTGATGTTGGCAGCAGTGTGAGGGGAGGAGAAATGTGGGGAGGGTGGTAAGTTGTAGAGTAGCACCAGAGGTTTAGTAGCCATGGAACAGTGGAACGTTCAAGAATGCGTTGTAGCCGTGCGGGCTTATTATCGACACGGCGACAGTTTGGTTGAGGCCTTACGGGAGTTTAGGCGGCATTTCAACCTTGCCCCTCGTGCCCACGCTCCATCTAAACATGCAATTCGAACGTGGGTTCAAAATTTCGAAGAGACTGGTTCAGTGGGAAAGAGAAAGTCTTCTGGTCGTCCAGGAAGTGCTTGGACTCCGGAAAATGTCGAAGCCGTGCAAGCCTCCGTCTTGAGAAGTCCACATCGCTCAGTACGGAAAGTCGCAGCGGCAGTGACTGTAAGTCGTCGGTCTGTCCAGAGAATACTCCATGAACTCAAGTTTCATCCCTATAAACTGCAACTGGTGCAAGAACTGAAACCTAATGACCATTTGTTGCGCCGACAGTTTTGTGAAGCAATAATGAACAAAACTGACGAGAATCCTGATTTCATTGAAAATCTGTGGATGTCAGACGAAGCTCATTTTCATTTAAACGGGTATGTGAACAAGCAGAACTGTCGGTACTGGGCACAAGAAAATCCTGCTGTTCTTCATCAACGACCTCTACACAGCCCCAAGGTCACTGTATGGTGTGCAGTTTTGGCTCGAAGGGTGATAGGACCATATTTTTTTTTAAGACATCGCAAGAAACATGGTGACAGTAACTTCTGAGCGTTATGTAACCATGCTTGAGACGTTTCTTGCTGCAAGAATTCACAGTGTACCGAACATTGATATCGAAAACACTTGGTTTCAACAGGACGGGGCGACCGCACACACCGCACGAGTGTCAATGGCAGCGGTCAGGCGTCTGTTCGGTAACCACGTAATTTCCAGAAACGGTGACATTGCTTGGCCACCTCGTTCCCCAGACTTATCAGTGTGTGATTTTTATTTATGGGGTTACTTGAAGAGTGTGGTCTACAATACACGCTCCACAACCCTAGCCGAACTTAGAAGACGAATAACAGAAGAGATCGCAACAATACAACCCGACACTTTGTTCTGAGCCATGCCCAATTTTCAGGATTGACTTGCAGAGTGTATTTGGCAAGATGGACATCATCTTCACGATGTTATTTTCAAACTGTGAGTTATTTTTAAATTTCCAATGTAGAAGTGCACATTGAGTACCTTGATTAAATAAAAAAAAAAAACTTTTTTTTCTCTATTTTCAAGAGTTCCCACCTTTTTGCGCCACTCTGTATAACAGACAACAGATTAACATAACACACATTTTCATCATACCCACTTAGGGAGTTAATACATAAGCTTGGGTTGTCTGAAGAAAAAACCTTCCTTTCAAAGACAGTTCACCATTTAAGGCACAGTGATAACAATATCTAACAACTGTTTTAAAATGAATAAACAAGTCCCACAGAGTGTATTTATTAGCTTTGTATGATTTTTAGAATAAACAGCAATTATTTCCATAAGCAGCATTAACTGATTGGTCAATGTAATAAAGTTGCAGTGTTTCTTCTAAGAGGCAGGGATTAGATCTTGAAATTTTACTTAGAAGAACATCATGGTCCAAATAATAAAAGCTCTAAGATTTGTTTATCTCAATTTCCTGAGCTCTGGTCCTAATGCTTTGGGCATGTTGTTGCTCTGTTTAGTGCTTTCTACATTTCTAGAACCTTGTCCACAGACTACATCAGCTAAGCAGTTCCACACTGATAACAAAAATCTTGGGCTCACTTCATTATCCCCCTCTGTAACCGAATCAGAGTCATTCTGTCACCTTGGTGTCCTGTAAACAGGCTCTGGCAAGATACAACATCTGTCGTTCCCCAACTGACAACCTGTCACCATTACGATCCACAGGGGTCTTGAGCTTATGAGGCAGGTTCTCAATTCGCTCTTGCAGGTTCACTTTCTGCAGACTCTCCCACACGTCTGAGTCACTGTACATCTCATGCGGATCTATGTTCAGCCTTTCAAAAGAAGTCACATGCATTTTACAAACCACACAAAGTTTCATGAGTTAGGAAAACACAATCAAAATTTGTGTATATTTTTATTACTAAAATTCAGTATGCTCCTAATTATCTGTCTGGAGACTACCTGTACACATTTCTAGGAGTGTGTGCAATCCTGCAGAGCTCCTATTGACTTCATTCTGTGAATTCATATATCCATCTGTTTGCATGAAACAATTCAAGAACCGCTACAAATATATTCATTAAATTTGATATTGGAAATTACATGAAGGGCCAATCTCTTCAGCTGTGGCCAGTTCTGATGTAAGTATGCTCACCCAGTAAAATTGGCTCATAGCATGCAAAGGGTTAAGGAAGTGTGTTAATGCTCAGTGGCTAGTGAATGCAGTGACAAGTTTACATGGGTGTAAATCTCTGAGAACAATATCACTACTATTATCACACTATGTAAGAGTATTATGATCATGAAAAATTCAATCTCATCATTATGAGAGAGAGAGAGAGAGTGTGTGTGTGTGTGTGTGGGGGGGGGTATGTATATATGTATGCGGACTGTATGTGTGAATGTGCGCTTTGCTGGTGCGTAAATGTTTGGATGGATTGTATTCATATTCAGTATTTAAGAGTTTATTTGCCCATTGAATATAAACACTACAGCTCCTAAAATAATGGCCCTTCAGAGTTTATTTGCCCATTGAATATAAACACTACAGCTCCTAAAATAATGGCCCTTCAGATGTGTCCCAAAACACAGAAAGACCATTTTGTCAAAATGAGAACTAACGATTTTGATCACATTTCAGTAATTTCAGGAAATCACATCCCTAAATATAACTGAATAGGTGATATCTTCAGGAAAATAATAATGTGTGCACTAAGAGCTAAAATAAAAAATTACAATTTTATCACAGATTTGACAGATTTCACTGTTGTTCAGTATTCAGCAACTAACAATGGTCTATCATTAAACACTTGTTTTCAGTCCCAAGGTAATACAATTAAGGTCAACTGAATGTGAGAAAGTACATGAAATGTCTTTACACTGACTTTTGTCATTCTTATCATTACAAGACTTCTGTGAGTAGCCTCACCTAACTGGTAACTAAAAGGTTTTTTATGTGACACTTAAGTTACAATGTGAGTGTTCCACTTCACCTGATAGTGCCTGTGAAAAGAACAGGGTCCTGGGGAACAATAGCCATTCTAGACCGCAGTTTGTGCAGTGGTACACAGGTCAGGTCTGTACTGCCAATCAGGACCTTGCCATGTTCCACATCAACCAGTCGGAACAGAGTATCAACAAGCAGCTTCTTCCCAGAACCTGGCAGCCCCACAACACCTGCAGTAAGATGGAAATGCCAGTCATAGCATATAGAAAACCACACTCTTACCGATTAACTTGGCCATTAGATTACACAGAGTACAGAGTCTTTCATATGAACTTCATAATATCATACATTCAGCATCAAATTATGATGATAATGATGATGATAATTATGATGATCAAATATCTTTCCCACTCAAAATGATCATAATCATCTCAGAGGTAAGATAAAAAATAATGAAGGCTACTACCTTCTGTGATGTTGAAGTCAACTGTCTTCTGTGATGTGGCGCTGTGTAGTCCAGTAGATATTGTGATGTGTATACCCATTGCTAGGCAATGACTTGATAGACATATTCTTGTGCGAGCAAATGCACGCAAGACTACGACATCCATTGTTAGGCAACGAATTAGTAAATATGCCTCCTTAACAATAGAGACTGTGTTTTTGTGGGGTTCGTGCAAAGTGATTACAAAAAAGTGTTTGGCAGTACAGAACAGTAAAGAACAGTTGAGAAGAGAAGAGTTGAGTTTTGAGATGCCAGCCTGCCAGGATATGACCTTGGGAGCAGAGGAACTGAACTGAGTCTTTGGAACGGGCAGTTGCAGAATATGGCAAGAAAGGAATCAGACTGTACAAAGAAGACTTCATGTGTGTTTAATTTGTTTCATTCTGGTCCATCACACTAATAATATCATGAAAAGTTAAACAGTTCTGTCTAGTGTGACTGGTGAAGATTTTTCTTATTTCAATTATTTATGCCCTTACATTATGATGGTCTCTGAAGATCAAAACATGTCAGGGCATAAATAATTGAAAAAAGAAAAATCTTCACCAGTCACACTAGATGGAACTGTTTAACTTTTCATGATATTATTAGTGTGATTTAAAGTTACAGTGAGACTGTGATCAATTCGTTGCCAGGATACGACTAGTGAAGACTGAGAACCCTAGTGCATGTGTAATGGTGAACTGAAAGTGTGTAGAATAGAGATAGCACTGTATTGCTTGTAGTTCTGAGTTGATAACTGTATAAGGTGCAATAAATCCAATCATCCAATCTAAAACCTGTCTACTGTCACAAATACATGTGAAAATATTTACAAACATTTTAAAGAAATTTGTTGCCTCCATCCATAGGGTAGAAGAGTAAACTGCATGGAAAAATGTGTTCAGTGATCTATCCTTATCAATATAAGGAAGGGAGGATAAGGACTGTGGGTAAGAGGGAAACAATGAAAGCAGCGCAAAATGAAAGGAATCCTGTGGTCTGTAAGAAGGCAGGACTTGCAGATTGGAGGAGAGGTAAAGGATATGATACGATATGATATGATATGATATGATGAATGTAAAGAGACAATATGTAAAATAAAGTAAAATAAAAATATAGCATTCTAATAAAATAAAAATAAAATAACAATGTTATGAAAACTAAATAAAGTGTAGAAATAGCTGAATGGAAAGCTGAGACAAAATTGTAAAATCAAACATCAAAAATTACTTTGCCACTTCTTTGACAGATATCTGTAAAGTGACATAATTTCCTTTGATATCACTTGTGCTTGATGTTGACAGGTTGAACCATCATACAAAGAGTGGTATATTCACTGATGTGTCCCTTCTCAACGTTTCCATTCCTGAGTCTGAACACACCTATCTAACTACAGTTCAGCCTAACTAATTTCACTCCCCACACTGGGCATGATCCTGAGCCATCAACATCTGACCCTCATAACCTACATCACTAATAATCTTAATGTTAACCTAGCACTTCACTCTCAGCAAGAGTGTGCCTTCCATTAGGTGTATTCTTTTATGAAATTTTCAGTACAGTATATTATATGGCACTGAAATGGGGGATGATAGAGTGATGGTGAACTGTAGAACTTTTGAAGGAAGCAGTCGTAGCCTAATTGAAGTACGGTCACGGCATTTCCCTAGAGGGACTGAGGAAAACCACAAAAGAAAGTAAGGATAACCAGGACCACAGACGAGAGTAAATCAAGTTCTTCCCAAATATAAGTCTACAGCATTACTCGTAAACCAACCCGTTTGTTTACCTTCCACAAAACTACACATCTCCACCTGATCTACATGTCCAAGCCACCACAGCCTCCTTGATATTACAATTTTAATGATATCAGGGACCTGTATGAATCATGAAGGGTTTCATTTATAAGATCCCAAATTCCCACTACTTTGACGTCTACAGTCTCAGCAGAGGATCATATAGAGTTTTACTTTCCTTTCCTGCAAAAAAAGCACTTTGTATAGGATTTCCTTTTGTGTCCTCATGAACAATAACAAAGAAAGGGATGGAAAGAAAGATATAATGGCAAGGAACAAAATAATGAACTCACACCTTAAAGGCAGAAAAAGAATACAAGATAATAAAGAAGATGGACAGGAAAGAAAAAATATCAAGAAATGACAATAAGAAGTTGGTACCTTCGATGAGGTAAGCAAATTCTTAAGGTATTAAGAAAATTGTGATGTATAGCATCCAATCTATGTACTTGTATATAAGATAACTGCCTCCTGTAATGTGACACCATGTAGTCTTGTGGATCATTACAATTCTTGCATGTTTGTCTCACCCTTCTACCCTGAATATTGTGGCAGCAGGATCCTCCAAAATGTTGGTAATGACATACCAGATTATATGATGTCACATTCCAGAAGAAGTTCACCCTTATAGTTTCCATCATGAGAACCTCTAATCTCACAAGCTCCATTGCCACACAGTAGAGTGATAGCTCACCTATTTTCTGTCCTGTTTCAATTCTGAATGACATTCCATCGAGGGATTGCAAGACACCTGGAGAAGTTACTGTCGTTACATTTTCAAATGTGATGCTGCCATCTGTAGGCCAGTTTTCAAGGAGCAGTTTACGTTTCGACTTGATGGTTTGGTCTTCACTTTTTATTCNCATCTCCACCTGATCTACATGTCCAAGCCACCACAGCCTCCTTGATATTACAATTTTAACGATATCAGGGACCTGTATGAATCATGAATGGTTTCATTTATAAGATCCCAAATTCCCACTACTTTGACGTCTACAGTCTCAGCAGAGGATCATATAGAGTTTTACTTTCCTTTCCTGCA